AATTAGGAAAGCACTACAAACCAAAAAAATAAAAATAAAACAACCCAATTATACTTTCCTTTTCAGTGAATCAGACAAAAACCTCCGCTTTCCTAGTCCCAAGGTCGATAGCAAAATCAAAGGGATAGTATGTTACTTTTACTACAACCTTATCCGAAATAGACTGAAGTGGCCTGCATCACAAACATGCTTGATAAATCAATAGAAGGGATTTGATGAAGTGTCTCGTCCATGGCTCATTCAGGTTAATTTGGAAAACATTTGTCAAGTACCACCTGAGCTAAAAAAGCCCTGACATTTTATTGCAAGAGACATAGAGCAAGCAAGTAGGCACAAAAATAACATTTTTGGGGTATCATAAGTGGCATGAAGGAAAAACAAGGGTTGAAGTGGTGGAGGACAGGGGCACTGTACATGGTTGTTTGGGAAACTTTGAGGAAGTGGTGCCCTCTGGGTGTTAGTTAGAGATCTGAAGGACGGCGTGGGGCGCGGGGGTAGTAAGCCCCTCGCTGTCTCGGTGAAGAACCCACAGACCTCTACGTAGAAAGACAGGCAGTTGCAATGGCCTTGAAGCTGGACAGGAGTGTAAATGATGCAAACTAGTGATGCCTAATACACAATGATCCTAGGCCAAGACACAGGAGAGCCATGTGACCCAGGTTCAAACTGGGAAGGTGAGAGCATCAGTTTTCCTGATGCCTTTACTGATGATCTATTGTAATGACAAGTCTCTCATGAATGGGCTGTGCTGGTGCAGAAAACTGGTGCAAACCTGTAATCTCTGTACTCAGACTGCTCCCCTTAGGCTCACAGGGCTTGAGGCATCAGCCAGCAAGGGTAGAGAGGAGACCGTGACTCGTGTCTCTGCCAAAATATCCATTCAACACTAACAGAAACAAAATGAATACGATGAATTTATTAAGACAACAAAAGGGATATATACTCATGACTAATGCTGATTTTGTCACTTTTAAAAATCACACACACAATTATCTATTGCCAATCCTGTCAAAATTAACATAAACGGAGATAACACCACTTTGAAAACAACTCTTTTCAAACCAAAAAAAAAAAAACACCCAAAACTTAAAACATGTTTAAAAATACAATTTTAACACCAAATGTATGGTCCATGAGAGAAAAATACGAGAAGTTGGACTTCATTAAAATTAAAAACTTCTACAAGACTCTGTTAAGATAACGAAGAGGCTACAGACGGGGAGAAAATTTTCACGAAACACATATCTGATAGAGTACTGGTATCCAAAATAAACAGAGAACTTTAAAACTCAACAGTGAGAAACCACACTACCCAATTAAAAAGTGGGCAGAAGATCTGAGCAGACACTTCACTACAGAAGACATACAGATGGCAAATAAGCACGTGGGGAGACGCAGGAGGAAAAATAACATGGTTCTGAATATCGCAAGTGGCATGAAAAAAAAAATAAGGAAAGACATTGGCGTGATGGAGTACATGAAGCGCTTTACACGAGGGCCTCTCTCATTAAGGAGTCACTGGGAGGTCGCCACACCCCTGTTAGAGGCACCGGCATCCGGACGCTGGCCGCACCTAATGCCGTGGAGGTGTGATGTAGCAGGGACCCTCCTCGTGGCTGATGGAGATGCAGGCTGGTGCGGTCACTGTGGAAGGCAGTTTCCCACAAAACTAAACATATTCTTACCATATGACGCAGGAATCGCAGTCCTTGGTATTTACCCAAAGGAGCTGAAAACTTATGTCCACACACAATTCTGCACGTGAATGTTTATAGCAGCTTTATTCATCATTGCTAAAACTGGAAGCAACCACGATGCCCTTCGGTAGGTGAGTAAGTAAATAAACCGTGGTACCTCCAGACATGGAATATTGTTTAGTGCTCGAAAGAAGTGAGCTATCTCTCCATGAGACGATAGTGAGGAACTTCAAATACACATTACTAAGTGAACGAAGCCAGTCTGAAAAAAGCTACATACTGTGTGATTCCAAGTATATGACATTCCGGAAAAGGCAAAACTATGGAGACAGTAAAAAGATCAGTGGTTGCCAGGGACTTGTGAAGGAGGGGAGGGAAGAATGAATGTGTGGAGAACAGCGGAACTTTAAGGCAGTGAAACTCTTCTGTGAGACCAAAATTATAAATACATGACGCATTTGTCCAAACCCACAGAAGGTACAGCACAGAATGAACCGTACATTATGGAGTTCAGTTAATAACAAGGTTTCAACTTTAGTTCCTCACTTTAGCGATTAATGTACCATCCTAATTCAAATTCAAGATGTTAGTAACAGGGCAAGCTGTAGGGGGAGCTTGTGGAGAGGGGAGTCTGGGAATTCTCTAGAACTTTTTGCTCGCTTTTCTATAAACTTACAACTGCTCTGAAAAGTAAAGCGTATTAATTTTGAAAAATAAATAAACAGTACAATTATCATGTCAAACACTATGAATTTGTTGCCAAAACCAGCCTGTTAGAATTGGAGCTTATGCTTCAAATTATCACAAGCCTTAGTCCTGTGATGTTCTTTCCCACAGTACAGAAAGAAAACAGTATCTATTGTTTTCTATTTTCACCAGGTTTCTCTCTGACTTGGTCACACCCTTACCACATGTGTGACTTTCCTGTGCTCATCCTGACACATTTTGAAGTTTATTCACCTGGAGATTTTTGCAGGTGTTAATGTTGTTGAGACTAGACAAACTACAGTTTCTAAATAAAAACCATTCTAAAAGGATGCCTGTGCTTCCAACCACAAAAGAAGCCTTGGGGACTGTTTCTCAGGACCTTTGTGAGGAGAGAGCTCACCACTGGGGCTCCTGTCTCGTGGAACCTTCTCCTAGAAGGTCCCCCCGCCGACTCCACCCTGGGGTTTATTCCCAGGCGGCTCCGTGCTCAGGGACCCAGGCCCAGCCCCCACTCAGCTCTGTTACTGTTTGTCCCTGTTGCTCTTCCTCCAGGAAAAGAAACTCTTATTGAGCACCAACTCCCTTCCTGAAACTGGGATCCGACTCCTCACCTGCCAACGAACCAGGACATCACCTCTCTCCTGGGGGCCGCAGGCAGCCTGCTGACTGGTCTCCCCGGCCTCTGCCCCGGACTCCTCCAACTTCCACTTTGCAGTGACAGCAGAAGTAATACTTTGCAGTGCGACCCAACACACACTCCCACTTGGAACCCTCCGGTGACCTCCAGCTGGTTCTAAGACAAGGAGCACATTTATAAGACACCCTCAGTGGTCTCTGAGACCTGGCCTCCCTCCCTCCCCGTCTCATGTCCTTAACTCTCCCCCCTCTCCCGGCGTTCTTGCTACTGGGGTCTTCAGCTCCTCGGACATGCTCACACACACACACACACACACACACACATACACACACAGCTAGAACTATGTCCTCGACCTCCTTGAGTGACCGGTCCCCTCATGTGTACTTCTGAAGTGCAATGCCCCGCTGCTGTGTGCAAAGGCCTCCTTTCCAAAGAGCACTCGGGTGCTCTTTTTATATTTGTGATTTATAATAGTTTGTGTAATTATGTTATCCATGCTCTCCCATCACTGCTAGTGGTCCCTAACCTTTTTGGCACCATGGACCAGTTTTGTGGGAGCCATTTTTTTTTCACGGACTGGAGCATGGGGGATGTTTTCAGGATGATTCAAGTGCATTATTAATATATTTATTGTGCACTTTATTTCTATTATCATTACATCAGCTCCACCTCAGATCATCAGGCTTTAGACCCTGGGGGTCAGGGACACCTGCTGTAAGTTAAGGTGTGTCCCCTCCTTCCTCATCTTCTACCCCAGCTCTTAGAATAATGCCAGAGAATTCGTGACAACTAATATCGCTTGGCTCCACTAATATCCTTTCATGCCACTGACCTGCCGTGACTCATGCCCCTTGAACTCTTATAGCGATGGCCAGCCAGATCGACCCGTCTCCTGGCCTTGACACCCCCCCTTCTCCACACACTATGCCAGGAAAGCCCTACTAAGCACAAGCCAGATGTAAATGCCGCTGTAAAATGTGAAGAGTTCCCCACTACCCTCCAATGCATTCTAAACTCTTCAGCACGGTGTGCAGTACTTGCCGTGGTTTATAGTCTGCTTATCTGTGTGGCTATATATAGGTAGACACAGATATCGTTTGTTTATATACATCTCATGCAGATTGCATCCTTCGGACACGCTGAATTACTTGTAAGTCACTCAGACAGAGCCAGTCAGAGGCTGGGAGATAAAGCCACGGCCGCAGGGAGTGGGCCGTCCAGACGCCCGCAGGTCCTGCGCTCACGGACTCGTCAGCACCCCCGTGAAGGGCGCAGAGGCCTGACTGCACCCCTGCTGCAAAGCGAGCGGCGCTTTCAAGGCTCCTTTGGACTGGGGAGACACCGCGCCGCATTTCACTGGGTGTCTGACCCGGTTACCGGGCAACCCATAAGGCTGCCCCCTGGGAGCTGGCCTCAGATCAAAAGGCGGTAGATCCAAGCCACAAGGAGGCCACCCAGTTGTCTGGATCCTGCGTGGCCTGACTCACCTGGGGAGCGCCCATCCTCTGTGACAAGCAAGGATGTGCAGAGCCTTTGATGACAGCCATGAAATCACATCACAGGCCCTGGGACGTGAGGGAAAACCTGCCGTCTCCTGTGAGCAGTCAGGGTCCTCGTGAGAGCTCCTGGTTCCCCGGAGAGCAGGGCGCGTGCAGAACAACCGGCATCGCGCGGCCCCGAGCGTCGCAGGGCTAAAGACAGTCATCACGAGCTGTTTGTGCACGTGGGTGGGGGCTCCAGTCCCGACAGGGTCACTCGCCACGGCCCCCCTCCCACCCCCACACCTGTCTACGTTGGGGGTCCCTGTGACAAGCGGCTTCCGGAGAAGAAGAGGAGCCTGGCCCGCGAGGGGGCCCACCTGATGAGCTGACACCAGACGGCCGGGCCTCGGCCGCTCTGAAGGGTTCCTAAAAGGAAACCCCGCCCAGGGCAGACACGGCCTGTCCGCGGCCTGTCAGGGTCACCAGGAGGGGCCGCGGCGCGAGCGGGGACGGACCCGGATTCCCGGGCGGAGGCTAACCGGCGGCCGGAGGGACCGGGGCTGCCGGAGCGGCGACGAGCTCAGTGGGGAGCGTGCAGAGGCCCGTCGGAGCAGGCCGAGCGTGTGTGGATGTCCGCGTCCCTGCGGACGCCCGTGGGCGACGGCGCCACTGCAGACGGGCCTCCCCCTGGCCGGGGCCTGGCCCGCCGCGGGAACCCACCTCGCTTCGTCCCGAGGCCCCGCCCCTGGGAGGTCGGCGAGTCGCAGTGAGCGCGGCGGCGGGCGTGAGGCCGCCCGTGGGCTCCGCGAGGCCGGCCCTTCACCCCAGGGCTGGCGAGGCCTCTGAGAGATTCCCGGGGCTGCCAGAGCAAAGGGCCGCAGAGCGACAGCAGAGGCTCGTTCTCGCGGCCTGGAGGCCCCGAGCGTGGGCTCAAGGACAGGCCCTCGCTGCCCGGGGGTCCAGCCGTGCCCCCTCCGGCCGAGGGTGGCGCTGGCGGTCCTGCTGCTGCTCCCCTTGGCTGCCTCCCGGCCACCCCTGCCTCCATCCTCGCGTCACCGTCGGAGGAGACTGGCAGGCTACAGTCCATGCGGTCCCTCGGTCTGGGAAAGCTCTCTGTGCTCAGACCTCCCTGCTCTCAGAAGGACCCTGATCACCCGGGGAGGGGCCATCACATCTTCAAAGGCCTTCTTTCCAAAAATCGCTACCTGCATGGTGCCAGGGGTTAAGACTTGAGCATATCTTTTGGCAAACTTGGCTCAACGCACACGTGGCTGCCGAGCCCCCAGCCTGGACCGAAGAGGACAAAGCTGAGCCCCTCAGGCGGCATACTTCTGAGTGGGAGGGTTCCCATGGAGGAAGCGATGATGTCTGCACGGTAGACAGGCGTGGCCCACGCCTGGGCCACCGCACCACACACTCCATCAGCCGGGAGATGCTGGGGAAGTCAGGAAACGCCCTGCTCAGGACCGTTACACCCGACCAGGAGCCAGCTCCCTGTGGGATCAGGTGCTTGCTACAGACCCGGGTGCATGTCTGGAACCAGAGCTGGAAACACAGATCTCGGCGTCAAGGATGAGAAGTGGGAGGGACTCCTCTTATGACGACAGCTAGTAATCCCCTAAAGACGTTTATGCTGTGTGTCTCTGGATCTTTAGGCTCTCAGGTTTAGAATTACTAATCCCCCAGGTGGCTCAGGGGTACAGAATATACCTGCAATGAGGGAGACCTGAGTTCAGTTCCTGGGTTGGGACGATGCCCTGGAGAAAGGATTGGCAACCCACTCCAGTGTTCTTGCCTGGAGAGTCCGGTGGACAGGGGAGACTGGCGGGCTGCAGTCCTTGGGGTCGCAAAAGAGTCAGACAGGACTTGGTGACTAAACTCCACTAAACTCAAAGTGAAAAATACTTCTACTGGTGCCGGCAACAAAGCTTCCATTGAATGGGAAGCTGATAAGGCCACTTTGTCATTTGGGGCTTCTTATGGCGCTGAATCGTCGGGCAAAGAAAGGAGTTGCTGCATTGTCTGGGGTGAGTTATCCCAATTATCGAGGAAAATAGAGCGGTCTCCACAATGGGGACAGGGAGGGACGTGTCTCGATGGCAAGAAATTCTTCAGCATCTCAACCACGTCCCAGTGAAAGCAAAGAGATGAGTACAGCAATTCAACAAAAGCAAGAGAACCAAGGACCGAGACTGCGCAAGAATGAGGTCTGGACCACCTCCATCCCTGACAGCAGAATAACAGTGAGAAATGGAAGACGCTGTAAACATCACAATCACAGCCTCCAGCTGCAAGACTGGCTAGGGATACAAGGGTGGCTGCCTCTGTACATGCTTCCTTCTTTGTGTGGGATTTGTATTTATTTATGACTCTTGCAGGGAGTTGTTTCATAGTCATGTCTAATGCTTTGCAACCATGGACTATAGCCTACCAGTCTCCTGTGTCCATGGGATTCTCCAGGCAAGAATACTGGAGGGGGTTGCCACGCCCTCCTCCAGGGGATCTTCCCCAACCAGGAGTCCAACCTGGGTCTCCTGTGTCTCCTGCATTGGCAGGTGGGTTCTATACCACTGACGCCAACTGGGAAGCCCTCAACTCATTGTAACTCACATCAAACTAGTCCACACCCAATCCCAAATTTTAATATTTATTAGTTTAATATTATTAATATATTACCACCTACCAGTACGTAAAACTAGAGCCCTTAGCATTATTTTCAAGCTGGGCGTGACTCACCTCCAGCAGGATGGTGCAGCCCCCAGCCCCTCGCTCCAGGCCTGCGTCTGTGCCCCTCCAGGCCTGCATCTGTGCCCCTCCAGGCCTGCGTCTGTGGCCCTCCAAGCCTGCTGTAAGGCTTCTCTCTCCATGTCCATCTCTGGCATCTTCAGTCCCAAAATTAGGTGGACCTGCCCCAGTGGCTAGCCAACTCACACCAGTTCAGCCTAGAGCTCCCCACATCCTCCTGATCTTGGTCTTCCTCCTGGTCTCAGTCCCTCTCCTCAGCCAGTGTACCTGAGTCCTAACTCCTCCAGGGGAAGAGGTGTCAGAAGAGTTCCCTGTCTGTGTGCGGGAGCTGAAAGGCCATCAGACAACACCCCTGCCCCCATGAGAGAGTCCCCACGTCCCCGAATCCCCTCACAGGACAGCCCCACGGCCCCGTGTTCCCTCACAGGACAGCCCCACGGCCCCATGTCCCCTCACAGGACAGCCCCACGGCCCCGTGTCCCCTCACAGGGCAGCCCCACTGCCCCGTGTCCCCTCACAGGGCAGCCCCACTGCCCCGTGTTCCCTCACAGGACAGCCCCACGGCCCCATGTTCCCTCACAGGACAGCCCCACGGCCCCGTGTTCCCTCACAGGACAGCCCCACGGCCCCGTGTCCCCTCACAGGACAGCCCCACATCCCCATGTCCCCTCACAGGACAGCCCCACGGCCCCGTGTCCCCTCACAGGACAGCCCCACGGCCCCGTGTCCCCTCACAGGGCAGCCCCACTGCCCCACGTTCCCTCACAGGACAGCCCCACGGCCCCATGTTCCCTCACAGGACAGCCCCACATCCCCGTGTCCCCTCACAGGACAGCCCTACGTCCCCGAATCCCCTCACAGGACAGCCCCATGGCCCCATGTTCCCTCACAGGACAGCCCCACGGCCCCGTGTCCCCTCACAGGACAGCCCCACGGCCCCGTGTCCCCTCACAGGACAGCCCCACATCCCCGTGTCCCCTCACAGGACAGCCCCACGGCCCCATGTTCCCTCACAGGACAGCCCCACGGCCCCGTGTCCCCTCACAGGACAGCCCCACATCCCCGTGTCCCCTCACAGGACAGCCCCACGTCCCCGTGTCCCCTCACAGGGCAGCCCCACGGCCCCATGTCCCCTCACAGGGCAGCCCCACTGCCCCATGTCCCCTCACAGGACAGCCCCACGGCCCCGTGTCCCCTCACAGGACAGCCCCACGGCCCCGTGTCCCCTCACAGGACAGCCCCACATCCCCATGTCCCCTCACAGGACAGCCCCACGGCCCCGTGTCCCCTCACAGGACAGCCCCACATCCCCATGTCCCCTCACAGGACAGCCCCACGGCCCCGTGTCCCCTCACAGGACAGCCCTACGTCCCCGAATCCCCTCACAGGACAGCCCCACGGCCCCGTGTCCCCTCACAGGGCAGCCCCACGGCCCCATGTCCCCTCACAGGGCAGCCCCACTGCCCCATGTTCCCTCACAGGACAGCCCCACGGCCCCATGTTCCCTCACAGGACAGCCCCACTGCCCCATGTCCCCTCACAGGACAGCCCCACGGCCCCGTGTCCCCTCACAGGACAGCCCCACGGCCCCGTGTCCCCTCACAGGACAGCCCCACATCCCCATGTCCCCTCACAGGACAGCCCCACGGCCCCGTGTCCCCTCACAGGACAGCCCCACGGCCCCGTGTCCCCTCACAGGGCAGCCCCACTGCCCCACGTTCCCTCACAGGACAGCCCCACGGCCCCATGTTCCCTCACAGGACAGCCCCACATCCCCGTGTCCCCTCACAGGACAGCCCTACGTCCCCGAATCCCCTCACAGGACAGCCCCACGGCCCCATGTTCCCTCACAGGACAGCCCCACGGCCCCGTGTCCCCTCACAGGACAGCCCCACGGCCCCGTGTCCCCTCACAGGACAGCCCCACATCCCCGTGTCCCCTCACAGGACAGCCCCACGGCCCCATGTTCCCTCACAGGACAGCCCCACGGCCCCGTGTCCCCTCACAGGACAGCCCCACATCCCCGTGTCCCCTCACAGGACAGCCCCACGTCCCCGTGTCCCCTCACAGGACAGCCCCACGTCCCCGTGTCCCCTCACAGGGCAGCCCCACGTCCCCATGTTCCTTCATAGGACAGCCCCACGTCCCCATATTCCCTCACAGGACAGCCCCACGGCCCCGTGTCCCCTCACAGGACAGCCCCACGTCCCCGTGTCCCCTCACAGGACAGCCCCACGGCCCCATGTCCCCTCACAGGGCAGCCCCACTGCCCCGTGTCCCCTCACAGGACAGCCCCACGGCCCCGTGTCCCCTCACAGGGCAGCCCCACGGCCCCGTGTCCCCTCACAGGGCAGCCCCACTGCCCCGTGTCCCCATGCTCCCCTCACAGCCCCTGTGTCCCCGTGTCCCCTCACCCCACCCTGACCTCTGCTCATGGAATCCCAGCCCTGGCCATCCCTCTGGACAGCGAAAGGTGGCAGGTACCCGGTCTTTTTCTCTCCCGTCTCCAGTTGTCTTTCCACACTGATATCAGGATGATCCTTTTAATGTGTGAAAATTAATCTCATTTAATCCATTCATTCAAATAAAATAAAAACCCCTCACCTATTGTCTCTTGTGTTTTATATGGAATTGAATTAACTGATCATGTCACCAAATTCATAAGCATTAGAAGCAAGTCTTTTTCACTTATTATCCTTTGTATCTGTTTCAGAACCAAGTCTAGGGACCTCTGACCACCCCTCTAGTGTGCACGAGTGACAGTTTGTGTTACCAGATGTTTGAGGTAGGTGTGTGAGCAAGCAGGCTTTGGTATCGGGACACTGAAGCTATAGGTGTGTGAACAAGCAGGCTTTAGTATTGGGACACTGAGGCTAGCATCCTCCCTTCCTCACCCGCAGAATATATAGATTGCATGTAACAAAATCCAACCTTAACTAGATATATTGTCCCACATAATTGGAAATCTGAAGATAGAGACTTGGGGTTGTCTTGTCGATTTGCATCAAGTCACCGAGAATTCAGA